GCTTATAACCTGGGAAAGCAGTAGAGGACAGCCCAAAGCCTTGGAACCTGCATCAAAGTGAGAGATCTGCGAGAAGCTCATGGCTCCTATCTTTGGATAGGTCCAGCTGGCCATTGCAGCCACTTGGGGAGTGAACCAACAGAAGGAAGATCTTTCTGCATTTCCTGAATTAGCAGATAGAAAACCTTTCTCTTACCTTTATAAATCTGCCTTTCCGATAGAAATAACTGTATCTTTGAAAAAAGTTATCTCAAAAACTAAGGAAAAGAGTAGAGAGAACTATCACAACTTCACGTGTATTGAGTTAAACCAACATCTTGCAATTTGACTGTTGTCTGTAACCCTGCAGGACAGTGGTCTAATTACTTTTCACTTTGGAGTTCTTCGTTGAGAGGAGTACTGGGTATGTAGTTATACAATAAGGTTAAAGGAAGCAAGAAGGGAAGCAGGGAGGTAGGAAAGAATCATTGTATTCTGGGAATCATCATCTAATGTTACAGGGTACAGCCAGTGATAGCCAGCACCCATTGACAGTGGGCAAATGGAATGTGGCTGTGTCCCCTATCCTCTGTCCTGAAGGTGGGTCCTAACAACAATGGAATGCTAATTCCATTCTCAGCCACTCTCCCTCCCCTGCCTAGATATTTGCTCCTGCCCACCTGTGACTCACCTATCATCTGAGAGGGGATTGTATTACATTGTGTGTAACCACTCCCCTCACAAGCCCGTTTAAAAGGCCCATGAAGCAAGAGATGGCTCTCTTTTTGGCCAGGTGCTTCCATTGTTCTGGCACTCTGACTCTTGGCTGACCCAGGACAGGTAATGCCCCTGAACATGGTCCCTGTGTACTGCTTAGATAGGACAATGGATACAGCAGTGTTATTTCTGGTTTGTGTACTGTCAGGAGTTCCAGGAGAGGTGAGGCCTAGCACTAGTAGAATGTGGGCAGAGAAGCCAGGGAAAGGTGAATGTCTGCAGCTTTGTACATGTGCCCAGGTTATTCATTGCATGTCTCTTATGATGACATATTGTTGGGGAAGCTGGGACATAGATTTTCAGCTTAACGGATGGACTTAAGGGTAATGACCATTTGTTCCCTTTGGGGTTATGTCTTGTTGGATTATGATTGGTTGGATTGCCGTATGTGATCTGCTATTTCTAGTGTGCTCAATTATCACCGAGCTCAGTTAATAAAGACTCCTTAATAAAACTTAGACATGTCTTTTGTGTTCTCACTCACACCCCATAACAATAAATTTCATACATTTTTTTCTCTAAATGTGTAAAAATTGCATCCAAGAACTACACTGAATCAGTTTTCTTTGTGTTAATGTCACAGTTAACATAAATGTTGTTGAGCTCTACTACAGTAATGATCACATTTGCTGTGACACTGAGTGTATGTATTCATAATTTTTTTAAAAGCATAGTTGGATGTCAAATCCAGGCACTCTTATATAGGACTTGGTCACCTTAACCAGTAGGCCCAGACACCTGCCCCCAAACAATGTGACTTCAAACAAGAAAGTCAATAAGAAAATCTTTTAGCTAACGTCCCTGGATATGATACTAAAACAATCATGTAAAAGCAAGAAGATAAAATCAATGTTAGGGAAACCTGAGTAATGTGTACACAGGGTTGACTATTTTTATAATTTCTTGTGACATGATAATTATTTCAAAACAAAAGGTGCAGTTATTAAAACGGCTATTGGGAATTTTATCAGATTACTCATTTTCTACATCTTTGATGGGCATGCTTTAAGTATATTCTGATACAATTATGGTTCAACTGAGGAAACTTACCTAGAGAACAGTTTGGCTGAAAAATTAGAAACCTACTACTGTGCCAATCTTTGACCAAGAAATTTCATTTCTAAGAGTTCAATCTAATAAAGAATCAGAGATCAGCACAAAAAATCCACAAGCAATGACACAATTTTTCAGTTGTTTCATAACATGGGAAGTTGTTTTAAAAAAGTAAAAATTAGAAATAAATAGTGAATTAGTAAATTATGGTACACCAAGGAGACAGAATATAATGCACTCACAGACCACTTAAGCCATAGAAGAATATTTATTGACATGGGAAAATGTTAACAATATACTTCTATATGAAATATGTAAGATACAAAACGGTATATACAGTTTAATACCATTTTTATGGAAAGAAAAATAGTCATATATACAAAATCATGCATAAGAAAAAAATAACATGTACGTACCAAATGTTAAGAATGATTATCTCTATGGGGGAATTAGAGGTGATTATGCAACTTCTGCAATAATTTTCACCGGCCCTCCAAATAGTATTAATTTCATGCTGTTCTTTCTGAATTGTTATTAGTTTTGATATAATTCTCTTCCGATAGTCTGTTTCATGATACATACCTCAAAAGCATACATTGGATGCAGCAACTGCTATTCCCACTTACAAAGTAGACACGACTTGCTCTTATATGCTGGCATATGGAGAATATCTTAAAGAATATAAAATATGCCACAGCATAGATCTGGTTATAGAAAGTAACTGGAAAATCCTCTATTCAAGAGAAATTTTAAATAGAGGAGGAAAATACTACCATCAGTTAGCTTTTCCTTAAAGGTAGGAAGTGAAGTAACCCAGAGTTCAGAACCAGAGAAATCTGGACCTCTCCCTCCTACACTAACTGATTTTGGGCAAAAGGGCTAAGAACTTTTTTTTTACTCAGTAAAATATAGTTAATAACTATATAGTAAAAAACAAAAATAAGATATTTTTTTAAAAAGGAAAAAATAAGATCACAGGTATAAAGATGTCTTGTTTTCTTTAAAGACCTAAAAGAGGGGTGGGTGTTTGGCACAGCAGTGAAAATACCCTTTGAGATGCCCACATCCCATGTAGGAGTAGGAGTTTCACTCCTGACTCCACTTCCGATCCCAGCTTCCTGCTATGAACACCCTGGGGGCAGCAGGTGCTGGCTCGCCTTGGATCCTGCCACCCCAGCTGGGCGCCTGGAGTGAGTTCCACCCAGGCTCCTGGCTTTGGCTTGATTCAGCACAGGCCCAGCATTAGGGGAATGAAGCAGCAGATGGAAGATTTGTTCTCCCGTGTCTGTGTCCTTGCCTTTCAAGTAAAAAATTTAAATGATCTAAATACATGTTAAACAATAAATTCAAATTTAGTTTTTTAGGAAGAATTAACTCATTCATTTTCAAATTACTGTCTTATTCTTTCCAAAGATCTGACATGTAAAAACTGTGAAATTATTTCATTAATTACTAGCCTCTAATTTATTTAGTTTTAAGAGTTAACACACAGGCCATATTTAACTCTTCATGGAATCTGAGGTACATGTTCCAAATATACATAAAAGATCCTTCTAGGATTCTTGATCATTCACAGCATCAAATACAATTACAACAAAAATGATTTAGAGTTTGACTCATAACCTATCTTAGTGTAAAGCAATTAGCAGGTTCTTAGTAAAAACACCAAGTAAAAATTTTAGACCTTTTAAGGGTAAAGCATTAGAAAAAGAAAATCTGTCCAGTTCTCTGTGCTTCTTATGCCACCTCCTAATTTCTATGAACAAGGAAAAACTTTTTTATTTTAAAAACAACTATTTATTTGGAAGGCAGAGAATCAGAGGTGGTGGGGAATGGGGAACAAAGAGAGAGATTGATTTTCCATCCACTGATTCTCTCCCCAAACGGCTCTAATGGGCACAGCTGATCCAGGATTAAGCCAGGAGCCCAGAACTCCATTTGGGTCTCCCACATGGGTGACAGGAGCCCAAACACTCAGACCATCTTCTTTCCCAGGCACATTAGCAGCAAACCGGATTGGAAGTAGAGCAGCAGGGACATGAACCAGCACCTATGTGGGATATTAAGCATGTCAGGCAGCAGCTTAACCAGCTGCAACTTAACGCTAACCCCTAAGGAAGAACTTTTTAACAATTGTTCACAATCATACAAAGGGAACTGTTCATGACTTACTTTTTTATCTTGAAGATTAATTAATTGTCTGAATTGCCAGAGGCAACTTCAGAGGAAAGAAACACTGATAAAAAAAAAAAAAAGGAAGATTTGACAAGAGTGAAAGAAGACAGGATTTCTTTGTTTTGTTCTAAGCATAAGTTTTTGTTCCTTCTCTCTGCAAAATCATAGAATTGAGAAAGCTGTCAGGAGCTCAGATGGGAAGTATGCATGAACTATCCTACCCATTCTCGCCCTGTACCAGCAACACTGTGCCGCCTCTATCCCATTCTATTAATGTTCCATTAACCATAGCCTCCCTTCTTGCATGGTTCTAATTCCTCAACGAAGAACATGAGAAGGGTACTACTTTAAAGTTTTTGAAAGAAACTGTAATAGTAACATCAACACACTTCAGGGGTGGAAGGAGCCTACTAACACTCCATATTCACGGCTTTACGTTACAAGAATTAACCCCCATTGAAACGCAGAGACTAGGAAATCACATTTTGAAACTTCACAATCACAAATTTGTGACAAAATAGAGGCATAACATTTATGCTAACAAATGTTACATGGATGATCACCTCAGCACGTAACTGTAGATGGGTACTCCTAGATTTTCACTTGATCTATTACTCAATGATGAACACTATGGAGGTGACAAGCATGAACCGAAATCACAAGAACAAACTCTCCAAGATCAATCCTCCATGAACTCTTGTTCCAGTAAGCCACTAAGGGCAGTAAAAGGCAACACTCATTTAACGGTACGAGAATCCCTACGACAAAAACTCAGGCATTGATTTTCCTCTAGAGATCTGTCTCCCCCACCTAACAAAGGCACTTGACACACACCAAAAAAGACAGTAATTCAAATACTGCCCTGGGCAACTGTTGCCTTCCAGTATTAGATGAAGTGTAATTAAGATCAAATCAGTTCTCTCAAGCAAGCCTGAAACACACATGAATATATCATAAGCTGGCTATTTTTGGCAGATGGTATAACCGACAAAGATAATGCTGGTGTCCACGGTGAATTGGCTGACTTGAGCACGGTCAAGGATATTTGTGTACAATATACTCCTTGATGATTATGGAATGTGTATACACTTGTAGGCAAATTAGCCTTTCATAGGATTAATGCTCATTTCTCTTCTTATTTTTCACTTTTTTGTTCTTTCCCACAGCCTTGGATGATTCCTCCTAAAAAAGACACAAATCAATTTAGTATCGCCATTTATGTGACTATGGAAACTAAGATTACATAGAGTACATACAATAGTGAGTGTATAATCACGTTCATATTCATTATCTTTCTCTGTTACAAGGAACTTTCACCCACACTATGTTACAGTATTGTTAAGACAATGAAAAATAATGCAGGAAAATACTTATTTACCTAACATATTTGTATTTCAATAGTTTTAGTACTTTTAAATCCACTTCCATTTCCTCAAGTCAAGTAATGAAGTTTATAATACAGAAGAACAGGAGAGGACACTGTGGCCCAGAGGGTTAAGGCATCACTTGTGACACCTGCATCTCACATTCAAGTGCTGGGTTCGAGTCCTGGCAACTCTGCACTGCCAATACAGTTTGCTACTAATGGGCTTAGGAGGCAGGTGAAGAGGACCCTAGTACTGGGTTCCCGCGATCAACATGCGAGACCTTGATGAAGCTACTGTGTGTCTGCTGACTCTGGCCTGACCAAATCCTGGCTATTGCAGGTACTGAGGAGTGAACCAGCAGAAGAAAAACACCTTCTCTCTCTTTGCCTTTCAAATAGAAGCTTAAAATAGGAAACAGAATGAAACTCAAAGAACAAATGCAGAAGTATCTAAAAGTACGCCCATCCATCTAATGCAGGTGACATCAGTCATCATCTCTGTAGGCCTCAGTTTTAGGAGGCAGAAGCTAGTTGGTCTTTAAAGGTCTTTCTCATGTAAACTCTGTGAACCTGTGAAATCAAAGTTTGAAGAGATGAAGTGATTGGCCCAAGGTCATGTGACTCACCAAGTTCTGACTAGAGCCTATTTGCAGCTTCCCAGTTGAAAGGTTTTATTTATGGATTATTAACATTCTGCATCAGTTTTAATTTCTATCATTTTTATTTCGCAGGCAAAGATGAGAAGCTTTTTAGATATAATATCAACAGTCACTTACCGGTGTGCTTGTATAGTTCTTCTCCACCAGTATGTTTCTGGCACAGTTGTTGATATGTTTAAAGCGATCTGGTCCTAGCAGAATCCCTCCATACCAGCGGGACACTACCACCAGGACATTCCTCACATTTAAAATCTGTGATTTTTCAGAAGCATAATTAGATACACATACACAAAAATGGGTTTTAAAGTAGAATGTGATAGCACATATAAAAATCTGCACATAAAATTTCCCAGTGACTTTAATGGCACAATCGTGAGTATGTACTGTGTGAGGTCATTCACAATTCAAGGGATGAGATGTTAGAACACAGGGTATTTGGAAAACCCACACTGGGTTCCACAATGTCCTCAAGTTCTACACTTTGGGACAACCAGGCAGAGCGAAGTGGAGCTCCTGCAGGTAAGATTCCAGGTCTTGGTGACTCCAAACTGAACAGTTCGGTAATAGTGGCAACACCCTGCCTGCTTCTGAACAAACTAGCAGAGAAGACAGAGATGTGTGTATACCACGACTGCCTCCCAGAAAGTTCCTCTAAAGTGTGGCCCACCAGTCTATAGGCCTGACACTCACACAGGGATCCGACTCCAGGCAAAGGCCACATTAGAAAACAAACCTCCACAGACATTAGCAGAAGAAACTATAGTTAACTACCTTAGGAAAAAAAACAATCCATTCTTAAAATTAATGGACAATCAATGATCACCAGACAGATGAAGAAACTCCAGCAGCATGAAAGAGAAAGGACAAGATAAACTAAAATGGACCAGGAAAAATTTAAGGGTGAAGATATCTGAAAAAGGAAACTCTAATTAATACACTCGGAAAAATTTTGAAGACACTGCATTCATGCATCCATACATCCAGAATGGGATACTATGAAAAGGGGAAAACAGAGTAAGCTAGAGCACTTAGGAATGAAATACCTGATTGCAATATATATATATAAATAAATTCAAAAGAAAATTTGGATGACAGCCAAGAAAATGTCTCAGAACATAAAGACAATGAGATGGACAACATAATAATAATAATAATAGTAGTAGTAGTAATAGTAATATATATTCTTAAGCTATCCAGAAGTTGTAATATCCAACTAATAGGCTTTCCACAAAGAACAGAAAAAAAAAGTGTGTGTGGGGGGGGAATATAACTTTCAAAGAATCAAAGAGGAGATGTACCCAAAGCTGAAGATAATATTTTACTACCTACATTATGAAAACATGGTATTTGTTATTAACCACTTGCTCCATATCCTGTAGTTAAGCTTTTCAATCCATTATTACTTAAAAATCACTAATTAAACCATAGCTTTCTTATATTGCAGCATTTCACTGATTTATTTATGTCTAGATGAAGCTCTGATCTGTTGAAAAATTTTACAGCTAACATACAATAGGATCCACGGAGTTTAACCCACACTTACCTCCATGAGGTGAAGGAGACGGCCCCCTGCGGCAGTCTCCCCATCGTCCTCAGAGTCCTGCAGGAAAGTCTGTTTGTCCTCACAAAATATTCTGGAAATAGATGTAGCAGTGTTACACTTGGGGATTTCAACAGGTTAAATCATTTCTTGATAGTTGCTGCAGCCCATCTGATTACTTCTAAACTCAACATATTTGTTTAAAAAAATCTTTCTTGAACTAAAATGAGTTACATCCTTGACTACTGAAGAATCACATGTTCACAGGGATTTAGCACTAGGATGTACACTTCCTTATCTGGGGAAGCTGGCAATCAAAGATGCTTCCTTTCTATCAGAAAGGCTGCTATTATGGGAAGGTGCTTACACACCTGACATTTCCTGTCCTTCATTTAACCCTGAAGCTAGCAGTTATACAGACCAGTCACTGAAAGGCAGTTATTGAAAATAATAGAAACATTCAAATAGTAGATGTTATGTTACAAAATAAGACAATGACATATGCCTGTCTTCAAAGACCTAGTAAGATCTAGTAAAAGAAACAAAAAATCAAATAAACAAAAGGAAGGCCAACAGAAGTTAGTATGTTAGACTTGCACATTTTTCCAGGCATTGAGGATTTCTTATTTTGAGTGAGATTTAAAAGATTTATTTTCCTCTTTAAAAATTCCCCCTGGGGCCCAGCAGCGTGGCCTAGCGGCTAAAGTCCTCACCTTGAACGCGCCGGGATCCCAAATGGTAGCCAGTTCTAATCCCGGCAGCTCTACTTCCTATCCAGCTCCCTGCTTGTGGCCTGGGAAAGCAGTCAAGGACCACCCAAAACCTTGGGACCCTGCACCCGTGTGGGAGACCTGGCTCCTGGCTTTGGATTGGCATAGCACTGGCCATTGCGGCCACTTGGCGAGTGAATCATCAGATGGAAGATCTTCCTTTTTTTGTCTCTCCTTCTCTCTGTATCTGACTTTGTAATGAAAATAAAATAAATCTTAAAAAAAAAAAAACCCTGGATGGTTATGATGGTTATCACTACCATAAACCTGGAAAGAGCAGCAGAAGATGGCCCAAGTGGTTGAGTCCTTGCCACTCAGGCAGGACACCAGAAGCTCCTGGCTCCTGGTTTCAACCTGGCTATTGTGGGTATCTGTGGAGTGAGCCACCAGATGGAAATCTATCTGTCTCTCTCTTTTTCTCTGTAACTCCTAACTTTCAAACAAAAAACCATTTTAAAAGGCTACAAAAGCTTATCTACAAATAAGTGAATTATTTTATATCTAATTCATTCTTCAATTCACCCATCCGCTTAGTAAACATTAACTGACCACCTGCTCTTGTCATTATTCAGAGCTGAGCTCATTTCAGGAAAAATTAGTACTATCAAACAAAATTTTATATGATAAATTTAAGGCTAAGAGGATTCAGAGGATAGAATGTATATTAGGCTTGTAACAATAATATGAAATCATACTTACAAATGTAGACAATTTGACTATGTAAATCAGCAATTAAAAAATAAATTCGCATTCAAAGGGACATAAAGATAGTATAGTATTAAAAACTCACCTATCCAAACTGATTAGGGATTTATTTTGAGTTTTGGCTAGCCTCTATTTTATGAATTCCAGCTAATCATCATATTTTAAATCTTTGGCAAATCTTATGTCTCTGTTCTGATTTTAGGCCTTCTTTTTAAATCTTACTACCTTGCACAATAAAAAAAAAAAATTATGCCCTTGACCTCCCTACTTACAAATCAGCAAATACTTTTCTAAAAGCTTAGTAGTAAAAATGAAACGGAGGGGTCAGTGCTGTAGCACAGCAGGTAAAGTTGCCACATGCAACACTAGCATCCCACACTGGTTCTGGTTCATGTTTTAGCTGCTCCGCTTCTGCTCCATCTCTCCTAGTAATGTAGCTGGGAGAGCAGCAGAAGACAGCCCAAGTGCTTGGGCCCCTGACACACATGTGGCAGACCTCGGAGAAGCTCCCGGCTTTGGTGGGACCCAACCCTGTCTATTGTGGCCATCTGGGGAGTAAACCAGTGAAATCGAAGATAACTCCTCTCTCCCACTCTCTATCTTCCTTCACTCTCCATTCCTCCTGCCCCTGTAGCTCTGACTTTCAAATAAATTCTAAAACAAACAAACAAACAAACCCCAAATCCTAAAAGGCACATAGGGCTCAATTTCACTGCCAATGGTAGCATAAATTGTTTCCAAAACACAACTTCACAAAAATTTGACAATATTTCAAAAGTTCTCAAAATCACACCTTTAAATAATTCTTATTCTTTTTAAATTATTATTTTATAATACAGTTCCATAGGCTCGGGGATTTCCCCACCGTCTTCCCCAAATTAATTCTACTTCTAAGAGTTTATTCTGTTTGAATCTCTTTGAAATGTTGAAAAAAAAAAAAAACCTTTAAACAACAACAAAAAATATGTGTAACAGTAAAGCATTAAAAAAAACTTCACATGGAAATGCTATCAAAATATCATGAATTACATATGTGGCAGAAAAATATGTGATTTTCTGATTCTTTGATGTTTTGGTTTTGTTCTTTGTAGTTTACAAATATTCTACATGTCTATTAGTATTATAATGGGGAAAATATGGTTAAATATAATGGATTTTTATAATAGTTAATTTTAAAAAAACATGCATCATCTTTCCTCTTTTCTCCACTTTGCACAAACTGAATCTTCCAAACACTGTGGTCTCACTCACCTGTAGGCATAGATGTTGTGCGTGGCACTAGATATTTTCTTATTCTCATAGAGTTTGGAAAGAACCATTTTCACCTTAAAAACAGCAGTAACAAATAAACCAATATGTGTTCTTCATTTGCACTGCAAATGAAATGCTAGAAAGATATCTTAAAGCATACTAATATGTACACTCTATTGAAACAACCATTTAAAAATTCATTAGACAGAAAAAACATATCCATAGCATTCCTATTTTAGGGATAAAACTAGTATATGCAATTGTTACACAAATGAGACATTTTTTAACATTAATATCAGCAAATATTTGGGCAGTAACTACGTCCAAAAAAACTTGAAAATTTCTTCCACCCACAGATAATTTTAAATGTAAGACTTTCTAAATATTCTGAAATCTAACAAATGTATGTATCCTTTGTGACAGGTATACAACAATGGTATGGTATGTTCCAGATGTCGGAAAATCACAACTTGCTAGGTTCATCGAGAAACCCTGAACTCAGGGGCTGGGTCTTGTAAAATAAACAAGAGTTCTCCTGTACCAAGAGAGTTGCAGGGCACAGGAGGAAGGCATTCCACTCACTAACAAAACCAGTGCAGGAACTAAAGTGATCAGACTTGGCAAATAAAGGTGAAGGATACTAGGGGCCAGTACTACATGTTCAGCAGCTTAAGACCACCTGTGATGCTGGCCTCCAATACAAGCCCTGATTCAAGCTGTGGGCCCCTCCACTTTCCACCCAATTGCAGCTAACGTGCCTGCGAAAGCAGCAAATGTGACAAAAGCACTCGGGGCCCCTGCCACTCATGTAGCAGACTTCAGGCTTCAGGAACGGGCCTGGCCTGATCCCAGCCACTGAGGGCATTTGGGGAATAAAAGAAAAAGAAAACTGATGTAAGTTTGAATCTCTGGTGTATGTTTGTGTGATAATGTTTACCTGAATTCAAATGTAACTAGGTGCACTGTATTTTATCTGGCAATCCCAAGAGGAAGATAAAAGAGAAAGGTTCAGACAGTTTCATGTCACTGGGACTTAAGAGTACAAAATGAGATGATATGTGTGTCAGGAATGATACATTAAGGTCATGAGACAAAGGGTCTTGTATAAAAGAGCTTAGATTTTTCTTTGTAGATGATAGGAATCAGAAAAGATTATGTGTGTGCGGAATAGAAGATAGAAGAGAGCGACATGTGGTCAGATTTATAAGGAGATTAAATATAACTGGCAAGAAGTATGGAAGAAATAACAGGTGCAGGGAAGACAGCTGAAGCCAGCAAGATCAAATTTACTCATGAACTATGTAAACTTGTATTTATAGATCTTTAACTTTTCATACCTCAGATTCCTGATTAATGAAATCATTAGACAATGATTTCAAAAGATCTGGTTCAGTTCTCACATACTACGAACCTGCAAATCTAAGTGACTATTATCAGAAACAGAGAATTTGGGCTGAACAGGTTCAGAAAAGAATGGATGTGTATCTAAGGAGCATCCTGATAAGAGGGTAATGAGCAAGACAAAATACAGTTCCTGAAAGGCCAGGAGGCTGCTTGAGGTGGTTATCTCAATCATAAGTCAACAAAGAAAAGAACTCCCTCTTGCAGAGACTTAAAGACCTAAAAATACAATTTTTTGATAATAAAAAAAAGTCTCCTGCTTACCTCCTGGGGCGGGAATAAGGTCACCCAAAAGGAAGTCAGGTAGAGAAGCCTGCACACAGCCGGTCTGTCCACTGTCCCCCTTGATGGGTAATAGTGGAATGGACTTAAGATTCACACAACTTCCACTCAATAAGACAAAGAATTCTTTCTAATCACACTATTAAACATTACAGTTTTCTACACACACAGTGGACTTCTCCATGTCAAGATTTCTAAGACAGTTAAGCTATAACTAAAGTATAGATATGGCATGTGGTGTAGTGGAGAAAGCCGCCGACTGCTTCACTTCTGATCTAGCTACTTTTATTACGAAAGCAGCGGAAAAGGGTGCAAGTGCTGGAACCTCTGCACCCACATGGGAGAACCCAGAAGAAGCTCCTGGCTCCTGGCTTCAGAGCAGCCCAGCTCTCGGCCATCACAGCCAACTGGGGAGCGAAGCAGCAAATGCAAGATCAGTATCTCTCTCTTCCTCTTTCTAACTCTGCCTTTAAGTAAATAAATATATATTAAAAATGAATAAGGTTTAGATATAATTTTGAAAGCAGTGGCAAAGTGAAACAAATCTTCCATGAGTCACAGTAATTTAAGAATGGGAAAATAAGGATAATATTACAAATTCATTTACTCGAGTTATTCTGTTTCAACAACATCAAACTGAGCTGGACATGGTAACTTTACCTGCTCCGGGCAAACTACGGGAGCCAGGTGTGCCTGGAAAGTGCTTCTTCGGTCCGTGATAGGAACACCGTGATCAATCGGGGGTACTTCTTCCACTTCTAGAAATTTAAAGAATTAATTTACTTTATGATTTTTAAAGTCTCACAAATGAATACTAAAAAACTGACAATGGGATGGAAAAAGTTGGTAAAGCAATATAAACAACAGGGTAAATGAAAGTTAGCAAACACACTGCACATGAGACAAAACAACTTGACTCATAAATGATTTTTACCTGCCAAGCTCTGCTAGTGAAAATGGTGGATTCAAATCCTGGCCTGCTGCAACAGTACAAGCTGACACAATACCTAACATAAGGTCTAATTCTTTGGAGTAGAAGCGGCTCCTGAAACCAAAGCCTGACAGGAGCTAACTTAACACAACTTACACTTTCACTGCTGTTGACAAAGAACTGGGTTGGGAAATCAATGGCTTTATATTATATAGCCATAATAGTGTGGGTTTCTTTTTTTTTGCTACAAAACTGCTCATAATTTTTATGATACAATTAAATGTATCCAAAATCAAATAGCAAGCTGGCACTGCATAGAGTATCAGGATTTCCAGTTATTCTGCACAATTTCAATAATCACTTATTTACCCTTAACTGTTGAACAAACTTAGATACCCTGGCTGCTGCTGCTTGCTTTACATTCCCTCTGATACAGCCCTCGTTCTCAATTAATTATAACCACTGTCTCAGGCCCTTAAGTCAAATAGAATATTATTAAGGTCAATATGAACTACTGACATATTAACATTATGTTTTATGATTTGTGATTTTGACCCTTTTCTTTTAATGGTGTTTCCAGCTCCCAAAAGGAATGTCATGTCAAATTTACAAACAGATGATTTCAGCGGGGGATACCTAGGCCTTAACTTTCAGAGAGAATGACTGTTCCCTCTGGGCTACCATATTTTTCTAAATAATTTCCAGGAAACTGGTAACATTTAAAATTTTAAAAAAACTAAAATGAAACATCCTTACAGAAACACAGAACTGATTTTATAGCATCAACCTATTTAAAAAGTTGGGCATTACTTAATTATGACTTTTGTTTAACAAAAATGAAATGTTAAAAATTTTATTAGCATTTTATGAGCTTAAATTTCACTGGCTACACTTTCAGTTGTACATTTTTATTTGTGACCATCAACCAAAATTTAATTTTAAGATATTGGGAGACAGATGAGGACTTCAATACAGAAACAGAAAAGCAGAAAGTGAGCTGAAAATATTAACAGATTTTTCTAAGTTTTATTTCAAGATATAAGTCAAAAATATAGGAAGTAGCAGGAAAAGAAAACACATTTTAAAATTTCTACTTTTTCTCACTATTCTGATAAACGAAAAAAATAGCAAAATAAACAGAGGAGAAAGGAAATCTCAATTATGTGCAAATTAGCAACCAATTTCTATCACTTCTGAGTTTACATCTATACCATCCTAAAGAACAATACAGAACACATTCTTCCAAAGAAACTAGCTGGTAACTCTACATACCTACTCGTTTCTCCTTGACTTTAGCGTTTGCTGCTTTAGCTGATGTTCCTGGCTGATTTGGTGGCTTGCGTGGTTTTTCACATTTAACCACCACTGGCTCAGTCTTCTTCTTTACTTCAGGACCTACGTTGATATCAAAATTATAACTGACACATGAAGCAAGTAAAAAAAAAAATCACACTTAAAAAAGTAACACTAGGTCATGGTCTCCAAGCACCATTCTTTAACAGAAAGGAACCAGGGGCCCTAGTAGAAGTCAATTTCAGGTTTGGAGCAAGGAAAATACAAGATCAGCATAAAATAGCATGTGGTTCCACAGAGTAGAAAATCCTGGAAAAAACGTGGAGACTTAGCAGAACAACACAAAGGAGCCAACCTGCAGGCACTCCTTAAAGGCCCAAGCTGGAACGCCTTCCACAGCAAAATAGATGGTGAGGAATTTTAACACATGAAATAATGTGAGTTCGTACTGATAAAAATAAAAGGACACATGGCTAACTTTATGTACAGTTTGACTAGGCCACAGTACTCACTCCATTAAACACCATTCGAGATGTTTCTATAGCTGTAGACATGTGGTGTTCTGGGGTTAAGATGCCGCCTGTGAGGCTGGCTCTATGAAAGGTTTATTTTGATAACAATGGACATTTAAAATCAGATGCTGAATAAAGCAGATTTTCCTTTATAATATGGGTGGGTATCATCCAAGAGGCTGAACGCCATAAAAGGAAGACGGACTTGCCCAAAGGAGGAATTTTTCCAGCAGACAACCTTTGAACTTGAACTGCAATGTTAACTCTTCCCTTAGTCTCCAATCTGCTGCCCCTACCTGTGGATTTTGGACTTGCCAGCTTTTACTATCTCTCCCAACACACACACACACACACACACACACACACACACACACACACACACACACACGTTCTGTTTCTCTGAAGGGCGCTTCACAGTGCAGACATCTGGCAGACAATATCTTAACCAAGCATCAAGACAAAACATCACCAATCAGGCATAGTGAAATCATGAGCTCTCTGATATGATGCACTGAAATCAACACAGTATCATTTTTATGGTATTCTTGCCAAAACTGACTAATCTCATTCATATCATGAGAAAACACTGGACAGTCACCAACAGAGGAACATTCTGTAAAATAACTGGTCAGTATTCTTTCAAAGTTTATAGAAGTCAAAGGGTGGGAAAGTGACTATAATAATAGAGAAATGACAACAAACTATAACATAGAATCCTATTACACCAAAAATGATATTATGGTAATACCGGCAAACTTGGAATAATGTCTTACTTAATAGTGCACCAATGTTAATATTCCACTATTCATAATTATACAATGGATCATATCAGATATTAGTAGGGAATCAGATTAGAGATATGAGTTCTTTTGCAACATTTTGTTTAAAACTGGTTCAAATTTAAACAATTGTCAATAGATACATAATTACTTCAAAATTTCAAAATTCTGTACTAGAAAAATATAAGTTTATGTTGAAGCCTAACAGTAAAATCACATAGCCTGATCACTAGGCCTTATTTTTATTAGTTCTTTCACACTATTAATCCTTTCATTTCAATGTGAAGTCTGCATAAAAAGATTTTGAAGAAAAAACCTGAACAAAATTTCTAAAAAATAAAAATTATGAATTACACAAAACACAAATCAATAGTTCTAAAATTTGAAGACTAGCTAAACTATTACTGATATAGGTGGTAAAGGACACATATCAGTTTTAAGATTAACTTTTCAAATTTCCTAGAGTTAAATAATCTCAAACTTTCTGAAGTACTCAGTTATTACTGATAGATTGATAAATTGTTCCTAACCTAGAAGGCAAATTGGCAAACATTTATTGTTTTAAGAATTTTGAGATTATGTGAGTCATAGATGCCCTGAAAATGCTACAAAATCAGAACAAAATCATTACAAAGTTCAGAAAACACCTCAAAAGAAGACAGGTACATAATCTTCATACCATTTATTTCTTTGATTTTAATAGAAGCAGTAAAAGTTCATTTGCTTCTATAAAAAAATGCACACTGCTGTCACCTTTACTTTGTTTGAACTTTGTTAAAGGAAGCCTAAATAATTGGTTCCCTCAATGCAGTCTTCTAAAAAATTAGTAGCTAAATTGCCAGGTTCCCTTTTACTTCTTCCTTTTCTACATACTGAAAACAACTCTACCAGAAGTACGAATAAAATTCTATTTACAAATATCAGGTAAAATTGAGTTATTTTACTAAAGCGCTTTGTATTAACTGGAACAAGGTAAAGTATAGGAAACTGCCATGAAGTTATACACTTAACAAGCCAGTATCAATTTTTAAACATTCTGAGATTAGGAAAATTGTGATGACAGCAAAACTGTGAGAATCTACTAAAACCTCAAGAACTGTATAATTAAAAGGGTAAATAATGCAATGTGAATGATTTGTCACAAAAACCAATTTTCAAAGTTAAGTTCAATATCTTAATATGGATCATGGCTTCCAAAGTTCTTTTTTTGCAAAAAAATTAGGGTCATTTGAAGCATTTCTGAAATGTTACCACACTTGTATTCTTAATAGACAAATACAACAGATTTAGGGTGCAAGTTTTTCATCATAAAATTTATTTTTTATATGAGTGCAATATGAAAGCAGCTAAGCCTTGTGGAAAGAAATAGCTATAATTATATCAGTAAATGAACTTTCCAGAAAAAAAATTATTTTGTCATATACAAACTTTACACAGAATACAAATTAAATGTAAAAATTCAACTAGAATTCTACCTGGAAATGTAATAACTACAAGTTAAAGCAGAATTCTTTTTCAATCTTACCTGGTTCTGCCATCTGAGCTTTTTCTATTAGAACATCTCTTATTTTCTCCACCCACAGGTAAAGAATACTTTCACCAATATTCTGTCTAAAATTCAAGGGAAAAAAATTATTTCTAAAAATTCCCTTCTCAATTTCAAGAACACAGAAACACAATCACAATTTAGGACATTATATGCAATCTCATAATGTTCTATGAAGAATTTAGTAAAATGTTGAGATTCACAAACACTTGTGTCTGAATGTTTTATAACGGCTTATATCAACATGTAGATTCTAACAGACTCCAAGTTAACACAATACAACTTAAAGCAAGAAGAGTTGTAATCAAAGAGGCAGAAAAAAGTAATGACTATGATCTGGATGAACTAGATACATGTAAACAGGATTTAGTTTCTGTTAGTGGACACAATTCCATTACACATGTCCAGTCATTATTTACTTTCTAAACTTTTTTAGTAACTTCAAAAATATTTACTTGGTGAACTTTAGCATACTTCTTTCAACAAAAAGAAGAAGCAAAATATATGAGAAACTTGACTTACAAGATCTAAACTATAAGTAATTCAACAATTTTATATTCATTCCTTGCTTTCAACAAAACAGTCTATTAGCTCCAAATAATATTTCTGGCTGTCTCATATAATTAAATCCACCAAATGATCATTAAAAATAAAGAATGTATCACTGGTTTTAAAGCCATGTCTATCAACTTTTGTTATGTGATGGAAACAGCAATCAAATAAAAAGAGCCATTGGAATATTTAAAAATTGTCTGCAAGCAATACAAAATTATCAACTAAAAGGCTAGCTTGCCTTAGATTTACTGAATTTCAAAGAGAAAATGTATTTATGTGCTATATCCTAAGCACAGTAGTTACACCAACACATTTAATCCTCATAATTGTCTAGGGAAGTATTATTTCAATATTACGCTACCGTGAACAAAAAAAATCACACACCAGTTAACTTATCCACAGTCCTATAAGCAACCAGAAGCTCGGAGTGGAAACATAAACCCAAGGCTGGGGTTCAAAGTGGGAATCAACTGCATTTTGCTCTTAGCAAGTAGCTCATACTTCAGTTAAGTAAGCCGCCCCTCTAAATTCTCAAGTCTCACTTTCCTCATCTATAAAATGAAGTTTGAAATATTTTGTCTCTAAGTATATAACCCTTCTTATAAGAAATAAAAACTTATTTCTTAAAAAGCAAGTTCCTAAAGTCTGAAAACACAAATACACAAGAATATTTTTCAAGTAGACCTATCTCAACTCATTTAAGAAATCTTTAAGGGCCTCCCCTATACACCAGCACCTCTACACACAGCCCTAAATGTATGGTAATGGGTTCACTTGTCTGTGTTCATAATAACAAATTTAACAAATTAACAAATTCACAGGTTTGTACATAATTCTCCCATCTCCTAACCTGATTTGAAATATTTACATCATTCTTGCCCTAACTTGTGATACTAATTCCCTGTGTGTGCTGAACATTGATTATATACAAGACACGTAAAAAAAAATGCTTTGTGTATACAAGCACTCTTGAAGACTGGCAATTCATCCCTCTATGAACATACACCCACATCCAGACTTGGGGTGCTTTGGTTTTTACTGACACCTTAGGAGAATTTTTACATTATTTCTCCGCAATAATAAAAGAAACTGAATTTTCCCTCCCCAGGTCCTCTCCCCTGGCCATGGCCTTCTGCAACATGCTGCTCAGCACGGTCTAGCACTGAGTGGCCACATCCCTGCAATACAGTGCAAAGGTTTCTTGTATAAAGTGAAAAATCATCCTTTTCCCTGGACCCCACAAGTCTATTACTGAATGTGTTGGTTCTTTTTTCAGTTGATTATTGTCGTTACTGTTGAATTCAGTTGTCTTAAAGGCATCCGCAGTATCTCTCCTGAGTCAGTTACTATGCTTCCTACAGAGTCCCTTATTCAAACTCTTCAGTCTTCTACCTGCTACTCCTCAACCCCAATCTTCCCCCCGGAAAGGCACAAAGTAGTGGGGCAGAGCGGAAGGGAAGCACAACAAAGACACCTGTCATCCACTGTACTCCCCACTGATGCTCACTGATGCTGGGGCTGCGCCAGGTGAAAGGCAGCAGCCAGAAACTCAATTCAGGTCTCTCAGCTGAATAGCAGGGACTCCACCAGTTGAGCCATTACCACTGCCTCAGGGGTCTGTCTCAAGAAGAAGCTAGAGCCAGGTACTGGACCCAGGCTCTCTGATATGGTTACAGGTATCTTAAAAGCTAGGCAAACGCTTATCCTCAACCTTAATCTTCAAAAGCCCTGGCGCCTAACAGAGGGTCAGCATACAGTATATCCTCAATAAATGTTTATTGGAAAAACTGTTAATTTTCTGACTTATTTCCCCATCCTAGTGGGAACCAATCATATTTCACCTTATCTAGTCAAAAATCAAACTCAGCATTAAAAATGACTGTACAAAACTCATCATTGCCATAATATTCATAATCATGCATCAACTACAATCTTTGAGAAATATATTAATACATTTACAACATGTTTAATTTTTGAGGTTAATATTTTTCACTTGCTTCCCCCTACTGGAATTATATTGAAAATATGATCAAAAGCTGTCACAGAACTTTGGAGAACCCATAGTTCTGTTGAAATCATATGCGTGAAAATAATGCCACTAGTGTAGGCTATATAGACACTTTTAACACGTATTATGTCCCATGTCTCCTGTTTGGAAAAAGTTGCTTGGTAATATCTGATTGTCCTAAAAATCTGCCTTTCTAAACTCTATTTAGTTAGAGAGAATAAGCAAGTTGTGTCCTGTGGGAAGGTAGTAAAGAAAACTTTCTGGATTGTGAAAAGTAGGTAGGAAGTTTTTTGTTTTTTTTTTTTTGTTGTTGTTGTTGTTGTTTTATTTTTTTATTTATTTATTTTTTTAGAAGTTCTGACATCATGCATGGGTAGGAAAAAAAATCTACCTGATGAAGGGGATTACTATGATAGATATCAAGTGTGGACTTATTTTCAAGAAAGGAGGAGGTAGTCAGTAACACCCAGACTTAAAGAGGTCAAGAAAAAAGCTAGAAAATAACCATAGGATGTGCAATGCCTAATGGTTCAACTGAGCAGTGGGGAACAGTACATTATTCTTATTCTAAGGAAAAGGATGAATTCATAAACAAAAGTAAATAATGGATTACAGAGATTTTGTTCCCACAACTAACATCAAAAGATGGGCACGTCAGAAACAAATAATATTTGAGTGCTAAGGAAGACATAATCACTCAATTGGGATCCAAGGAGGACCCCACATCCCTTAGGGAGGAAGCAGAACAGACTTCACAAAGACTTACCATTTTCTAATTAAATATTTTGGGAGTAAAACAAACCTGGTCTGGATTCCTAGGAATTCAAAGGAAAACTCTCATTGTATTCAAAGGGTTGGTCACCTTATGCACATAATACAACCCTTACTAGTACCTAGAGTAGAAGATACTGATCATCTAAAACATAGATCGTAGTAAATATTCTGAAATATTACATGTTACTAAATGAAAGTTATCTCATTAGAGTAAGATCAAACCGGCCATATTTTCTCTGGACTACCACGTTAGCGTCCAGTTCTAAATGACGTCCCACATATATTCTTGCTACCTTCCAAATGGTTCTTCACATGAATATAGCAACATCCTCTCAAAAATAATTCCTATCCTTGGCATCCCACTGTTTATATAACTCTCTGTGCTTCCAATTGTTCCTAGAATGAAGGCAAGAATTTGTAACAGGTGAATGTGCTTAGCTCTAACAGTTAAGATGACCTCACTCCATTTTGGAATCTGTGGATTCAAAGTCCTCCATTGGCTCCTGACTCTTACTGCCCACCAATGCAGATTCTGGGGGCCAGAGGTAACAGCTTAAGTAACAGGATTTCTGCCACCCACATGGAGACCTGGATTATATTCCTGACTGTCAGTTTCCACCCAAACTAGGGACTATTGTAGGTATTTGATTAGTAAAAATGAATGGGAGCTGTCTCCCTGCCTCTCAAATAAATTCTAAATTAAAAAACAAAACCAAAAAACCCCTACACACAGCCTACAAAGCTCCCTGGGACATGCCTCCAACACCCCATCAACCTCCCACCACACCAGTGCTCTCCTCCCACTGCACAGCACCACTTCTGTTCCCTGCAAAGTGGTCAGCTCCTTGGCACAGAGCCTCTGTACACACCGATCTCTCAGCCAAATTATCCTCACCTAATTAACTCCAATCTTAAGTCAATCAAGTCCTCCTGAACTTCCTGGACTACAACAGGACTTGTCTGTCATTGAATTAGTCCTGCAAAGCTGTTACAGAGCTTCTCAGGGCGACAGGCTTATATTCATTTTTCTCTCTCCCTGACCAAGTCCTGTACGTCATAAAATAAAAAAGGATCATTTCTGGTCTTGCTAGCCAGATGTTTACAAGATCTACTACAGGGTCTGCCATTTGTTGAATTAAAATGAATGGAGAAAGGAATGAAAAACACATTACCAATTCACTTTCAGTCTTATGAGTGTTACAAGAAGTTAAATTCAAAATACTTAAGAAGCTCAATAAATGTTTTAACATTGCTATTAGTTTGAATATACATGGTTTTTGAAAATATGAAAAGGAAAACAGTATCTCTAAATTTACTTTCACAAACTGGCTATGGACTCTAAATATTACTATATTTTTGTAACTAAACATATGATCTTTCAAGAACTCTGCAAGTGAATGTATTTTTTGTCAACAGAAATGCAGCTTAACAGTGTTAGAAAAGGTTTTAACATACCAATTGCAACAAAAGTACACAATATTGTCACTAACAGCATTTTTCAATCACTTCACACTTACATATATATTTCCTCAAGGCTGTTCGATAAGTCTGCACGTTCTTGCCCTTTAAGCCAAGGAGCACTGAGGTTAAATAAAACACAATATAGATGATTATTTGAGGACTGTGTTTATATGTCAAACAGAAATCAATGATTAAGTCACAATTTTTTTTTAAATTATTTTATTTGAAACACAGTTACAGAAAGAGACAAAGAGATCTTCTGTCCACTGGTTCACTCCCACACCAGTTGCAATGGCTGAGGCTGGGCCAGGCCAATGCCAGGAGGTTCTTCCAGGATTCCCATACATCATCTTCCGCTGCTTTCATAGGCGCATTGCCAAGGATGTAGATTGGAAGTACAACAGCTGGGAATTGAACTGGTGCTCATATGGGATATATTTTCATATAGTCAGAGCTATAAATAGTGGCTTAACCTGCTACACCACAAGACTGGCCTCACAAATTGGTTTTATTTAACACTGGAAAATTGTCTTCATGAGCATATTACCTTGTATTTACATTTATTCAGTACAAAATCTATATAATTCCAAATCTACACAGTTCCAAAATACTCTTATTAGCAAACCTTATTTATTCCTTCCAACACACCATGACAAAACCAACACAAAATTATTTTGTTTTCCTGATTTAAAAGCCAGAAATGGTTTGTTGAACAATTTAAGCTTTCCCCATGTTTATATAAATGGTAGAAAAGGTTCCAGAATCTGAATTTTCAGACTCATAGTATCTACTACAATACCAGGAATTCCAATTTTTTTCTAACTGGTGTTTCAAAAACAACTCTTAACAAATAAAGTAATTGCCACAGGATTATTAAAAAAAAACATTTTCTGAAAAAGGACAGTTATGTTTACAACCATTCCATATTTATTATTTGCAATACATAAAAAATTCTAATTTATAGGATTGTTCTTAATAAGTCTTGTTGCTTTGGTTTTGAAATACATACAAAACATTCCACTGGTCCATAAAAACTGTAACTAACATTTTTATACAATTCTGTTCCAGTGGGTTTATATATACTATTAATCTCAAGGGGACAAGGTAGCTCCTAGGGGACTTATATCAACAGGTCACAACTCAAAAGATGAAGCCTGGGCTGCTATGAAGGTGATTCTTGAGCTGCAAAGGGGACAGGGGGTTGGAAGAAACTCCAGAAACAATGGATAACTGCTGGGGCAGGGGGTCTTCGGCAAACGTCCAGTAAGGTACTGTGACTAGGCAGCAGAAGCAGGCTGGGGGGACACCACGGGAGGGTTCCCTTTCCCATTCCAAAGACGATTCTACTGCCATTTTACCCTAGGGAAGCTGAGATTCTTGCCTCTACCAGCACATTTCAACGTGTTTTTACATAACTTAATCTTTCATTTAAATACTTCATCCAAGATTGAGAGGTGCTTTCCTTTCTATACACACTTCAACAACAAAGATATTTTATATAAACACAATGTGCAACATGGAGAATGATGTTTAAAAATATAAACCCTTGTACAAATATAAATGTAGAAATATAGCTTACTTCAGCTGGTATATAGGTGGAGCTGTACCTGGGTATTCATTTGGCAGCATCACCTACAATGAAGTTGAAAAACAAATCTGTTTCAAATTCATCATGGTTCAAAAATGGCTGCAGCTATGAGGCTCGTCACTGCATAAATGACTCATTCATCAAACCACTGTTTTGCTCAGTCTCGGGAGGGCATCTCTTCCTCACGGTGTCTACCACATTACCTATGTTGCCCATTTTTAAAGAATGGGGATTAATTCTTTACCAAGAAAATATAAGAATAATGAAAGAACAAATAAAGGCAGAAAGGACAATTTAAACTGAAATAAGCACAGGACACCTCAAACCCAAATGGATAGAATGACATTATAACGTCTTCAAGGTATTTTCCTGAATACTAAAAAACAAAAAACAAAAGCAAATAAAATCCTATGACAATGCCAGAGTGCTGTAAATAAAATAGCTACTGCATAATAAAGAACCATAAACACTTGCTTTCAAATCCATATTGTAAAAAACAAATGCTGACAGACACTTGAAGAGAGAGACAGGCACTCAACAAAGAATAAGCTGGCACTCAGAAAACATTAGCTCATCTGTTTTCACATATTTTATCACAATGACATCTAGTACACTACAAATCATTTACACTGCTATTCTATTCTTCCTCTAAAATGTTATCCATCTTACCAGGTTTAGACTCTATTAGAACAATGAAATGAACTCACTTCTGTCAAATGGTACATTAACAATCAAGATAATTAGAAAGACTGGGGTAAGAATGAATAAAAAATTATCCAAGCACGTCAGGAGAGTGATCTGACATTTAACCGCCCATTGATTACCAGCTAATCAATTAATAATCAATTTTGACAAAAGACAATTTGGAACATAACACACAAAAATAATCATCTGAATATAATCATTGTCAATCATATATGGTAATTGGAAAATACCTGTAGAGAAGGGGAAAAAAAATATATCTACCTGCAAGCAAAGTGTCCATTTGGGGTCATCTATATCGTCGCTAATCCTAATGCAAAATATTTTGGCACAGTCATCAATGACACACCATTCCTCCCCATAAATGGCTGCCATTGCTTCAATTTCCTCATTCTGAAAGAAATTGGTTTTTTGGAACAGTGAACAAATGTGCACATAAAAATACTCCCAGTATTTTATGGTATTCTATATGGACAGATAACATATAGTATATATACTGTTCAGTACAATATTTGCATTCAACACCTCCAGCCTGTACGAAGGCTTGCTGTAGGAGCCCGGGCAGCCTACGCACTCTTTCCAACATCACATCCATCCACCATCTTTCTCCCCCTGGATGGCTGCCAGGCACCACTGGATGAGTCGAACCCATCCTGCTACCCCATCAGTGTTTCTGAGCACTGCTGAGCAAAAAAATACACATGCACTTGTACACTCCATAGCTAGGAATCACACCAAACACGCAGACCCCATCTTGTATCTTAAGCCAAGTCTGCATTCCTCCCCCAGCCCCACCCCATGCCTGCAGCTGTGCAGGATTCCCGCATTCTGCTATGCATCTCATCCATTTTTCTTTTTTTTTTTTTTTTTTAAAAGTTGGGGGCATAGGGCTCGGTAGTTGTTTTGTCTTTTTCTGTAATGTATGTGTATATATATATATATATTCTGTCACCAAATCCTTAAGCATTTTCAGAAGCATTTCTTCTGCTTCGGGGTTAGAAAAATAAAAAAAGATATCTATCTCTCTTAAGGGTAATACAGGAGAAGCTGAGTCCGCATTGCCTGACAGCTCCTCATGTCTGTCCTAGCAGTCCTTTGGGAAGACCTTGGCGGACTCCCCGCTAGCCCCATACAGCAGGAAGATGAGGAAGATGAAGACCAGGAGGACCCGAGGATTTGGGGGACTGTCGGGGGGCACTCGGGGGTCTGTGTGATCGCTCAAGGCTCCGAGGTGCCTCGTCCAAGGTGACTGCGGCAACGAGGCCGGCCGCAGCGGCATCCAGGTCTCTGCCTCCAGCCCCGCCGCGTGCCAGCAGTCCAGTCGGACTCACGGCCATGGCTCGCAGCCACGGGAGAGGCTGCCAGGGCGAGCCGGCTGCCCAGCCAGCGCGCGGGCAGGCGGGTGTGGGGAGGACGGGAAGAACCGCGACGGAGCCACCGCGCAGCCCCAGGCACAGGAGGCGAGGCCGAGCCGAGCCCGCAGGGGCCTCACCTGCCTCTGGTCGCTGCCTGCGTCCCCCTCAGCCATTTGGGCCACCGAGAGCTGCCCCGCAGCCGCCACCTCCAGCCCGGTCCGAAGAGCGAGGGTGTGGCACTGCGGCAAGACAGACGCAGGCTGCGGCGCGGCACGACCCGGAACCGCACGTTGCTGCCGCGCTGCGCAAACCGCCTCTGCTTCCGGGTCGCAGGCCGGGATGGTGAGGGGCGTCCCCTTTGGTCCGAGGGGCGCCGAAGCCCCCCTGAGTCTCGCGCGCGCCTCCCTTGGCCGGCATGGCCGGTGCCCACGGCTGCCCGAGGATCCTCTGGAGGCCTCCTCGGTTCCGTCTTCTAGAACCCTTTGGGGCTGGGGGCTCCTTGATCGCCCATGTCTCAGGGGACTCGTGTTTACAGCAACTTCGCGGACAGGAACCGATGGCAGCCCACAGTCTCAGAATCCTGTTTACATTTCAAAATGGAAGGGCTTTGTTTCAACCTGTTTTAGTCTACTTTTGGCCGAAATGAGTTTGATGTCCCCCCTCCAGAAAAGCAAGACAGCAGGTTGAGCCAGGTGTTTTGAAATCACGAGGACAAGCAGTATTAGCACACTCACCGTTGTATTGCCGTGATTTTACTGCCCTTCACTGTACCAGCTAGGAGGCCAGTCAACCACCAGCCATGCCGATGATGTAAGGGTCATTCTTTCCTGAACCAGAGGGCTGGAATTAGCTTTTGTCATTTCTCTTCACCTCTAAGCTGCGCTTTCAGTGACAGATATCAATATATTGAAAATCAGTATATTTTCAAGTCACATTGGTAGAGTTATTCCCTGTTCAAAATGTACTTTATACCCTCACCCTACTTTTCCTCAAGCACGCATATATACAAACACTTAAAATATTATTTCTTTTCTCCAGTCTTTTTAAATTACGAACATTTTTCTAACTTCCTGTAAGACTCAATCTTAATTAGGGGTATGCTAGGTACCCACAAAGACCTTGATCTGCATTGCTTTGAATATAAACCTTTTCTTTCTTTTTTTTTTTTTTTAAGATTTACTTATTTTACTGGAAAGGCAGATGTACAGGGAGGAGGAGAGGCAGAGAGGAAGATCTTCTGTCCGATGATTCACTCCCCAAATGGCTGCAATGGCTGCAATGGCCGGTGCTGCGCCAATCTGAAGCCAGGAACCTCTTCCAGGTCTTCCTCGTGGGTGCAGGATCCCAAGGCTTTGGGCTGTCCTCGACTGGCATCCCAGGCCATAGGGAGAGAGCTGGATGGGAAGTTGGGCTGCCAAAATTAGAATCGGCGCCCATACGGGATCCCAGTGCATTCAAGGCGAGCACCTTAACCATTACGCTGTCATGCCAGGCCATATATAAGCCTTTTCAATCTGTTAATTCTGCAGATACTTCTTAAACTCTTACTGTGCTAAGCTACAAAATCAAATGTCTTTTTTTTCACTTTTTTTTTTTATTGGAAAGGCTGATACACAGAGAGGAGAGACAGAGAGGAAGATCTTCCGTCCGATGATTCACTCCTCAAGTGAGCGCAACGGTCGATGCTATGCCGATCCGAAGCCAGGAGCCTCTTCCGGGTCTCCCCAGCGGGTGCAGGGTCCCAAAGCTTTGGGCTGTCCTCGACTGCTTTTCCCGGGCCACAGGCAGGGAGCTGGAAGGGAAGTGGGGCTGCCGGGATAGAACCGGCACCCATTATGGGATCCCGGGCGTGCAAGGCGAGGACCTTAACTACTGTGCCACTGCGCCACCGCGCCGGGCCCTTTCACATTGTTTTTAAGGAACTAAAAGGATGGTACAAAACTCAGTCAACAGTAGACTGGACCTCAAGTGTGTCCTATGCATGGCACAAAGATGCATTGGAAGGCTTCAGAATTGTGCACTGTTGAATAGCCCATCTTCTTTCACTTTGAACTTTCCATCACTGACATCTTCATGTGTCTTATAGCTTCTATTGCACAGTGGTTTTCACTTTTAAAATAATATTAAAAAAATAAGACCATGAATCATTTCTTTAGTGAAAATACATGCAACACAAACTAAATTTGGGGCCAAAGTAGAGGTGATGGACCTGAAGTCCCAACTACTCAGTCCTTCCCAAAGATCCCTAGAGATTAAACTACCACATGAAAACTGAACCTTCTGAACCAAGCAGAATTCATTCTATTACACACTTCATCTTTTTTATTACCATGTATTACACCCAATCAGTTAATTTTACCTTTTGCAGCGTATGCCTGTGGTTTTCTCTTAATCCCCGTTTCTTCATAGCTACAGCCTTTCAATCTTTTAAGCTCAAGTTCTAAGTGGGAATTACCCTTGATGCCAAAGGGGGGGGGAAACATTTCTAAGCATGTGACTGATCCTAAGAACCCTGACTGAAGCCCTAAGGTTAGCTACACAAGAGCACTTTGGAGGAGAGAGGTCATTATTGAAGTAACACATGCAGCAGGCATCCTACACTTTCAGTTCCATATTGAAAGGAAGATGCTGTAGACAATTTAGTCGAGCAAGAATGCTTAGTGGGAGCCTGGAGCAGGTGCCTAAGAGGCTGGAAATGTTCTGCCAATGACATAGTCCTAAATGTAAAAGAGGTCATCAAGCCAGATTCTGCTGAGTACACATCCAATTACTCAAATGCTTCCTGTCTCACATTCATTATGCGCCAAGCTGAGCTCACCAGTTTTCTACTAAATTTATTTTTCTTGCTATCTTTTCCAATTCAATAATTACCCAAGTTTTAAACCTGGAAAATTTCAATTATCCTTCTCATCCTGTTAATGTTACAAATGGGCAAGTCTGGTCATGTCATTCTTGAAATCCTTCACACTCCCTAGCTTTATATGACAACATTTAAACACCTTAACTCACTGGGGCTAGTGCCATAGCGTAGCAGTGCTGGCAACCCATATGGGTGCTGGTTTGAGTCCTGGTTGCTTCACTTCTGATCCACCCCTTATTAATTGCCAGGGAAAGTAGCTGAAGATGTCCCAAGTGCTTGGTCCCCTGCACCCACATGGGAGACTGGAAGAAGCTCCTGGTCCCTGGCTTCAGACTGGTCCAGTTCCAGCCACTGTGGTCATTTGGGGAATGAACCAGCAGATGGAAAAATCTCTCTCTCTGCCTCCGCAACCCTGCATCCTTTTCTCAGTAACTCTGAAACAAACAAACCCAAAAACCCAAAACTACCACCTTAAATCACAAAGTATGTTTCTGGCAGTATAATTTCCTCTCTTATTGCTTTCAACCATACCAAAGCTTCATTTTAAGTTTTCTTTGAAGTAGAAATTGCATGGTTTCAGAAAATTATGAAGACTGCAATGTTACAGAATAGGCACAAGACATGCAAAGCATGAAGGAAGGAGCCAGGCCTCTGTAGCAATAGATGGATAGTCACATGATTATGATAATCTGGAGGAGATGCTGATGGCACGAGCCCTCAAGATGTCCACCATAAAGAGAAACACCATCAGAATTTCTTTGCAGGGTGGGATTTAAAGCCTGAAATTGTTGGAAAGGCTTGACATTTTTTTTGCATACAATTAAGAAATATGGGCTGACATAGTGGGTAAAATCACCTTCTGCAATGCCAGAATCCCATATGAGCACTAGTTCAGGTCCTGGCCACTCCCTCCCTCACCCAACTCCATGCTAACGGCCTGGGAAAAGCAGTGGAAGATGACCCACGTGCCTGGGCCCCTGTACCTCCACGGGAGACCTGGAAGAGATTACTGGCTCCTGATTACAATCTGGCCCAGCCCCAGCTGTTGTGGCCATTTGGGGAGTGATCCAGCAGATGGAAGATCACTGTCTCTCTTTCTCTCTGAACTCTAATTTTCAAATAAATCAATCTTTTTTTAAAGTGAAGAATCACAAACCGTCCAAATAATGGAAAAGAGGAAGCTATATAACAGATCCGAAAAGAGAGAAACTCTTGGAATTCCAAACCAGAGTACACATGTGCAGATGATCATACAATTTATGCAAGTTGTGTGGCAAGGGAGAGTTAACAGTTGGACTTTACAGGCAAAGGTGAGAGAGTATTTCAAAGGAAAAAAAAAAAGCCAAAAACAAAAAACCAAAAAAAAATCCTACCCTGAAATTTTGTGTATTGGATTCCTGTGAGGAGTTCAGCACAGTCTGTTTAGATGATTTAAATAGTATTCATTGAGGTCAAGACATCTCCAAATGTTCATGAAAATACATATTGTGACAAAACAGCATGCACTTCAAAATTTATTGCACTGGGTCTGGTGTAATAGCCTAGTGGTTAAAGTCCTCACCTTGCACAAGCCAGGATTCCATACGGATGCTGATTTGCATCTCAGCTGTTCCACTTCCCATCCAGCTCCCTGCTTGTGGCCTGGGAAAGCAGCCAAAGACAGCCCAAAGCCTTGGGACTCTGCACCTGTGTGGAAGACCCAGAGGAAGCTCCTGGCTCCTGGCTTCAGATCAGCTCAGCTCTGGCCATTGTCACCAGTGGACAGAAGATCTTTCTGTATCTCCTTCTGTCTGCATATCTGCCTTTCAAATAAAAATAAAGAAACCTTAGATTAAAAAAAAATTACTGTACCAAGACAAATACCAACTGATTCTACCACTTTTTCACAAACTTTAAAAAATTTCCTCATATTCTCTAGACTCTGATTATTCAAAATGAGGCCTGTAGATCCACAGCATCCATATTAAGCAGCTCTTCAGTATCACACTGAAATATCCGAGAAAGTCCACTGATGAAGCAAAAGGTTTATTTAACTCACAGTTTTCGAGGTTCAAGGTCCAAAGAACAGAATGCATGCTTCGAGGAAATTCCCATGGTGGATGACAGGAGCAGGGGTGGGGAAAGAGATGACATGGTGAGGCCAGGAGCAAAGAGAGAAGAGGCCAGGCCTGCTCCTCTTAACAAACAACTCTTGTAAGAACCACCAAGAGCTCCACGGAAAAACACCCTTAATCCCTTTCCAAAGGCAATGCCCTCGGGGACAGGAGGAGCTCCATCAGAAGGGACTTGAGTAACTCCACCAGCTTCCACCGTGCACAGGCTCCACAGCACCTCCCAACACCACACCCCTGGGACCCAAAACTTCAACACAGGGACTCTTGGTGGATT